CAAATGGCCATGCAGATGCTGTGAAAGTTGTAAGTGTGAAAACAGGTTGCAAATCGCTTTCTTTCAGTGCTGCTATAATTTGAACAATTGCTAATTGAATTGTTGTAAATTGAGAATTATCTGTAATGCATTATTTTACAGTTTATGTTACAAAAAAGGTCAGTATAGGTAATCCTAAACTTACAACAGTTCATTTAGTGACCGTTCAAAGTTACAACGGTACTGAAAAAAGTAATTTATAACCATTTTTCACACTTATGATCGTTACAGCATCCCCACAATTACGTGAATAAAATTCAGATGCTTGGCAACTGACTCATATTTATGTCCTGGGATCATGTGCTCTCCTTTTGTGTCCTAACAAGCAAAGTCAATGGGGAACCCAGATTCACTTAACAACCAGGTTATTAACTTATCAAATGCAGTGATTCACTTAACAAGTGAGACAAAAAAGGTGGTAAAAGGGGGCAAAATTCACTTAACAAATGTCTCTCTTAGCAAAAGAAATTGTGATCATAACTGTGGTCATAAGTTGAGGACTTCATAGATATGTATTGGGAAACTGTATATGTATGTATGTATGCAAGTAAGAAATTGATGGAAATTATGGGTAAAATATACAAAAATGGAAAAAGGTGCACACACCTCATCTTTATATTCTAGATTTTATTTTATATAGGTGGGTATATAGATGACCCTAAATGTTTTTCTCACTGTGATAAGGTAAAAATAAAAACATTCCCCTACTCCAATCAAGGTCAATTCTACTACAGAGTAGGGCATCAATTTATATGTTTCTATTCTCTTGATGCGGGTGAAGAAGGAGAGTGCAAAAGTTGGCTTGAAACTCAACATTAAGAAAACCAAGATCATGGCATCCGGCCCTCTCAATTCCTGGCAAATAGATGGGGAAGAAATGGAGGTAGTGACAGATTTTATTTTCCTGGGCTCCAAGATCACCGCAGATGGGGACTGCAGCCAAGAAATTAAAGACGCTTGCTCCTGGGGAGGAAAGCTATGGCAAATCTAGACAGCATACTAAAAAGCAGAGACATCACCCTGCCAACAAAAGTGTGTATAGTCCAGGCCATGGTTTTCCCAGTTGCAGTGTATGGCTGTGAAAATTGGACCATAAGAAAGCTGAACGCAAAAGAATTGAAGTGTTTGAACTATGGTGCTGGAGAAGAGTCTTGCAAGTCCCTTGGACTGCAAGGCATTCAAACCGGTTAACCAGTCAGTCTTAGAAGAGATCAACCCTGACTGCTCTTTAGAAGGCCAGATCCTGAAGTTGAAACTCAAATACTTTGGCCATCTAATGAGAAGGAAAGACTGACTGAGAAGAACCTAATACTGGGAAAGATTGAGAGCAATAGAAGAATGGGACGACAGAGAATGAGGTGGCTGGATGGAGTCACTGAAGCAGTAGGAGTGAGCTTAAATGGACTCCAGAAGTTGGTAGAGGACAGGAAGACCTGGAGGAACATTGTCCATGGGGTCGTGATGGGTCGGACACGACTTCGCAACTAACAAAAACAAATTTACTTCTTTAAAGTAATCCATACAAAAATCTACATTACCTTTTGCAATTTCCCATAATTTATAGAGCTTTGCTAAATGACATTTTCTAATATTATTTTCCTAAAATATACTATGCAAGTCATAGAGATAATGACTTACATTTTAAATTGTAATGTGTAATCATAGCTAGCTGTTCTTCCTTTTTCTACTATTCTTCCAGTATGATCAACTATTGCTATTATGGATTTGCAATTAAAAAGTTGCTGTTTTATTTCTGCTTCATTTCTTTAAACTGCATACCAAATGAAAATCATTTGAAAATTGCAAAGAACAGCTGTAACCTGTTGAGTCAATCACAACACAGGATATCTTGAAGTCTGTTTTAAAACTCTCTCTGTATGCATGCATGTATGCAGGCTTATGCATATATTCACAGACATGTAAGATCTGGGAAATATTGAATTTCATAACAGGCAAGAATTCTTTAGTAATTATTATTCAAATAGCTATAACATCTTTTCGATCTTCAAAGAATTTTCAGGTTGGAACAAGAGATTTTGTATTATTAAAATGTGAAAATTGGTTGAATCCAGAACTTTTTTTGGTCTGCTTTAATAGCTGTGGGCTAGGGAAATGATCTCTATAGCTGTCAAAGTTTATCTAGTACACAGGAGTGACAAAGGAACTCTGGTCTCCCTGTAAACAGAAATACTGAGAAATCTACACTTTTGTGGTCAATATTATTATATCTATCTTATGCCAACATTCATTTTTTAACATCTAATCATCATGTAGTAGTCATCTCCAACTGTCACCTAGCCAACAAGCAAAACCTCAGGCTATAAAGAGCAAGAGCTACACCATAATCTGAGTTGAGAGATTAGACTGCATACTAACCATTCTACAGTATAAGAAAGGAGAGAGAAAAGACAGTAAGACCTATTTCATTCTTCTGCTAAGAAGATAGCTCTTTTGGTTTCCCCCAGTTGTAATCCAGCCCAAAAAGATTCCATCATGAACCTCTCATCATTCCATCTGGTCATGATAAGTGTAGTAATTTTAAGAAGTGGGGTATGATTTTTTTTGCCCATCTTCTCCTCACTCTTCAGTATTGTCTTCCTATGTGTCAGTGTCCATCTTAGGCAAAATATCTCATTCTCTGACATTTGTAACCTTCTACTGAAGGTAAAGAATCAGGCAATTATGATTTCAGTTTGGATCGGATTGCCAGTTTGGTGTAACAGTGGAAGGCACCAGGCTAGAAACTGGGAGACCATGAGTTCTAGTCCTGACTTAGGTACAAAGCCAGCTGGGTGCTTTGGCCAATCACTCTCTTTCAGCTCTAAGTAAGAGGCAATGGCAAACTACTTCTGAACTCTTGCCGAGAGAACTGCAGGGATTTGTCCAGGCAGTTGCCAAGAGTCAAGCCTAACTTAAAGACCACAAATAATAATAAGATGCATTGAAGCAGGTACACCATGAAGGCTTAGGAGAGGGTCAAACTAGCCTACAAGAGAGAACAAATGAAAACTAGAAAAGAAACATGGCAAGGCAAAGTACAGTACAAAAACCAAAACCAGGCAAAGCAGGTAACAACAAGACCTGGCAATGACTAAGAGCAGGAAAGTTGAGTAAAGAGACAGACAGGCTAATTCTGGCTATAGAAGACCAAGCCATAAGAACAAAGGCATACAAAGCCAGAACACACAAAAAATGCAGTCTCTGAAAAGAAGCTGAAGAAAAAGTGGACCATCTAGTTAGCTGCTGTAAGAAGAAAACACATGCCAAATAACACTTAGACTTAACAATTATTAATAAGAAAAGACAAAAAAAGTCTACTGAGTGGATCTTGCAGTATTTGGACACAGCAGAACAGAAGAGAATGAAAAAAAATCACAAAATACAAGGACTTGCAAATAGAAGTATAATGACGGTGGCACAAGAAATTAGACATAGTATCAATAGCAATAGGTGCAATCACAAACAACTGGTGCATTATTTGAATACCAACAGCATTGACAAAATTACTATCAATCACTTGCAAAAGGCAGCTTTACTTGGAACACATTACATCCTGTGATGATATTTTTAACACACCAGACAATGAGATCTGCCTATTCCAGGTCCTTGGGAAGGACTCAGAGATGGATAAAAATGCCAAACCCAGTCTAAATATCTAGCTGACTGTATGACCAACAACAATAATAATATATTCTTGTTGGGTTGAATAAGGTAATAATAATGGCTGCAATAAACTGAATCATTAAATAATTTGGTAGTTTTTGATAACAAACCTAGGATATGTATTCTGTATTTATAGGTGACATTTCACATGAATGAAAGGTCATAGGATCTAACTGTTTGTGGAGAGAGAAAGCAAAGAAATGTGAATTGTAAAAAAAAAAATCCTATGCATACGACAAATTACTTAGGGAAAGTTTTACTATAGAACCATTTAACAAATATGAACGTTAATAGTTTGGGGTAAAAAAAAGGAAGTACTTTTGTAGTGAATCAGTTAAACCTGCCACATCCATGATCTTTCTGAAGCATTTAAAAAGAAATTAAGATGTGCGGTAGTTAGAAATAAGGGTTTGTATCAAAGGAAGAATGGGGAATAAAAATGGAAAAATGCAGTTACTGTTTTGAGCTGTCTATAGGCTTCATATCTGCATTCATATATCACTTTATTATTACTTTAGGGGCCAGTAGGCCTTTAGTATATAGCCTAAGCTTATCTATCTGTTCTCAACAAGATGGGAGGTTTCTAAATAAGATACACACACACATACACACACACACACACACACACACACAACACGTTACTTTTTAGAGGAAAAGAATACCCTATGACCCTATTTATATTTCATTACTATATTTCAACCAAAAGGGTATGTAAGTAGGGCTATATGAATATTTTGCTGCATGGTGGATTTTTCTAGTATTCCAGCAAATATATTTTTTAAACATCTTTTTCAAGATGCTTTTAAAACTTTAAATGAAAGGGATAAACTAATTGTTCTTAACAAAAGCATGTTTATCTATCTCCTAGCAGAGTTAACATTTCTGATTAGACCAGAATTAAAGATCTTTGTCTTCATCAGGAGCAGAATTCATTTTGGATAAACAACTAGCACACTGCATAGAAATTGAAATGACTTGTGGTTGCATTGCTGAAACTCAGTAACAAAATATAACTAATACATACTCTGCTGAGTGTCATTGGGATAATAAACTGAGTTGGAAGAAACGAAAATTATTTTTAAAAGTGAATATGATATCTTAAAGAGCTGTAATAAAATAAAACAAAATTGTTGTATGATATTAAAGATCTGTTTTCAAAAGAATATTTTGTTCTAATATGCATCTAGAACCATTTCAATTATCATTAAAAGAGTGATTCTTAAAAATTTCATGTAAAAAACTGTGCTTTGTAAACTCTTACAAGAAATTACATATTATTAATTCTAAATTATACCAACCTTATCTGTGCGCTTAGTAACATTTAGTATCTCGGTTCTTTTGCAGTGATCAGTTGATAGATTAAGTTTATTTATTTGCTGTATGTGAAAGTTCTTTGTCTGTATCAAGTTTGTTTGATCCACTAACTTTGTTAACCTTTGCATTGTCTTGTGTTATTTGGTGTCTTTCTGTAAGTAGCCTGGATGGAAAATAGTTACATCAGGGTTAAGGGTCATAGTCATTATGGGATTTCAAGTTAAAATACACTATGCTCTTGAGGATCAGAATCTGTTTATGCATAATTATTTTCTTTGTGAGAATTTCTATGAAGAAGATTATTATAATATATAAACCATCTGGGGGAGCTTTAATACTTACCTAGTTGCTTAATGAAATAACAATCCAAACTTTGCCAAGAAACAGCTAGATTCCATCAGTTCTCAATATTAATGTAGTTACTGCTGCTTGTGGAAATTCAATTAACTAGAAATGGAAAGAACATTATGCATCATGCCAATATGTTCATTAAAAGTGCTGCTCTTTTGCAACATGAAGAGTTTTACAATATTGTAAAATAGTATTGTAACATTGTATATTGCATCAATACAGTTTTCAAATAATCATTTGTGTCATGCTATTTCTGTATCATTTTCTTTTTGTCAAAACCACCAAATAAAATTTGCAAGTTCCCATTGAATTGTATTTACATCTTTAAAACACTAGTTCCTAATCACCACTAAGATTCATAGCACTCAAGAGACATTGAAATCACTGCTTAGAAACAGTATTTGCTGACTTCACCAGGGTAACAGTTTAATCTTTAAAGTAATCAACATTCGCCCTCATCTTGGGGTCTCCTTGACTTTTAAGTTCTTTCTCGTCTTTTTCAGAAGAGGGAAAGAGACTCAGTGCTAGGCGACAGCTATTATTCCCCTCCATGGGATAGTCCACTTCATTCAGACAAGTAATATCATCTTCTATTTACACTCATTTGAAGCAAGTGCACAGGGTCACCCGCCGTTCCACTCTGATGTTGCCTCTAAAGTAAAAGGGAAAGACATGGCAGCAGGAGTTCAGCAGGGTTTTGAAACCAGAATAACCTGGGAAGCAGATACGGCATGCCAATTGCTTTCTTTCATTTGATCCTTTAGGGAAAAAGAAAACACACATGCACAGTGGCTCAGTCTCAAAGGATTTCTCACATGATGAAGCAGGTTAATGGGGAGGAAACAACCTTGGGCATTCTTCTTTTCATCCAACTTCTATCCTTCAGCACTGTTTTGACCAATGATTAGTAGCTAAGAATTTTTATAAATATCACATGCTGAAATCTTGGTTAGATTACTATTGATTGGGGTGGCTCATCAGTTAAGATGCTGGGCTTGTTTGAGACCCAAGAACCGTGCAAGTGGGTGAGCTCTGATCCTCACCCTACCTCCTGCCAACCTAGCATTTCAAAAGCAGGCAAATACGAGACAAAAGCAGACAAATAAATAGGTACCAATTTAGTGGGAAGGTAACATCACTCTGTGATGTCATGTTGGCCATATGATTGCAGAATTGTCATCTGACAGCGCTGATTCAATGGCCTTGAAACGGAGAGGAGTACCACCCCCTCTAGTTGGCACCAATTAGCAGAGTAACATCTGCCAGGACTCCTTTACCTTTACTATATATTGGGGAAGTATAGCTAAAAGTAATTCTGTTTTCAAAGCAATGAGGACAGTGGAATCTACAGCAAACTATAATAAAGCCAAATTGATAACATGAGTGTGCTGATATTTTCATGTAAATACTGCTATTATGAGTTATGTTTCATCACCAGAATCTAAATCATACTATTTGTATAATTACTCCACCAGGCACATCTTGCTATTTACCCATACTGAGGGCATGTGAATGAGGAGTCAACTTTTATAATTTAATTTCTATGAAAAATAAATGATATAGCACAGTTTACCAAAACCATACTTGGATTCTTATTTTGACATTACATCTAAAATTATTTTAATCTTTACTTGGGTCCATTGTTATAAGTTCACAACATTTAATATTAATGTGCATTTTTCAAACTATATTAATTATTTCCAGGGAACCAGTTTTTCTCTCATTATGTTTTGTTCTTAAATATAAGAATATCCTCAATATTAACTGCTATATAGATAAGTCACACAATTGGCAGACACCATCATTCATTGAAACAGCAATCCTACACCTGATTGCGGGAGCACTGTTTTTGACATATCTGGGGCTTGCTTCAGTTAAATATTGATTGTGCTTTTAGCAGTTTAGCACTTTTTATCTGTCACGTGGACTTTAGATCAAAAGATCTAAATAATCTTTAAAAATATTTAAGAGTTAAATAATTCCATATATTATGGGCAGATCAAACATATAGGGAAAAGTTTCATACATGCAAGACTCTTATACTCTCACTATGAAACACACTACATTAGAAATATTTCCCATTAATTCAGCTTCCAAATCTCAAACCAACCTTGTGATCTTTACACTAAAATTAATAAAATGAATCCAACACTAAAATGAGATACCATTATTTATTATTTCCACTGAAATTACATGACAACGATAGCAACATTTGGTTCAATGCTGATATGTATTCTTGACTGAATTTCCTGTAATTTTCAACAAATGATTAATTCTAACCTATGGTATTCTTGATAGAGTCCAAACAACAGTTAAAACCAAAGTGAAATAACATTAAGCTGGCTGAACCTTTGTAGGATCCAACCCATTTAGCACAGAAAGATGGGTGATTCTAGAATCCTAAATTTAGGATTTCAAAAATTAATTTTGAGAACAATATGTTTTTTTAGGCAGAGAATCTACAGTATTTTAATTTGGGGGCTTTACCTATTAGGTTCACTGCTCTTTTACTAAAATTGTTTTTTAGACCGATAAACAAAAATATTTTCCAGTAAAGAAAATAATCCTGGGCTTTTATTTTTATACTCATGCTGGAGGTTGACATATAGAGCACAGAAGCAATTTTTATAACACTCTTTCAGCCTGGCGTGATATGTAAAACATTGTATAATAAGTTGTCACACAATGTTGGAAACTCCTCCCAAAGAAAGTTTCTCTTTTACATTAATAATATTTGATTTAGTCACCCCATTATTCTCTTACTAATTTTTAAAAAACAGTAACAATCTCTGAAGCCAAATCAGTAGTGATTTGCTGGGTTACAACACAGGAACACTTTCCCATAAACCACTACAGTGCTTTAAGATTTATTTTCATTCCTACTGAGGGTGAAAAGTTCACAGAGCACAGAATTTTATTCAGATGAAAATTATCATGAAACATCATCTGATATAAACCAAACATTGACCTGTTTGTCAAGTGAAGAAAAAGAAAATATAAAGGTGCTTCCCAATGTATAAGTTTATTTTTCAGAGTATGCACCAGCCCTCCAAACCTGCTGCTTTTCAGATGTCTTTAACTTCCATTTCCATCAGTCTATTGGCAGATTGCCTGGGGATAACAGGAGTTGAAATCTTGATGGCATCAAGTTAGGAAAGGCAAACTTAAAACAGCAAGTTGAAACACATTTATTTATTTACTTATTTATTTAGAGAGCCAGTTTTGTGTAATGGTCAAGGTTACAGGTTAGAAATTGGGATGCTGTGAGTTCTACTGCTAAAGCATAAAACCATCTGGGTGACTTTGAGCCAGTCACTCACTCTCAGCCCTAGAAAGCGGGCAATGCAAATTACTTTCTAAAATGTTGCCAAGAAAACTGCAGGGAATTGGTCAGGAATCAAAAACTGACTCATACATGCATGTACACACAGAGAGAGAGAGGGAGGGAGGGAGGGAGGGAGGGAGAGGGAGGGAGGGCAGGCAGGCAGACAGACAGACAGACAGAGACCCACACAAATATCTTTATTCTGTTTACATAGCTGACCATCTCAAATATATGACTCTAGTGGCTTAGAGGACAGGAAAACCTGGAGGAACATGAGTTTACAACTAATAACAACAAGTGGCTTAGAGTCTTGATATATAACAAACAATGAACAAAATACAAATAAAAATAACATAAAAACCTTATTTTTAAATATATATATATATTACAAATATTGTGAAAACCTAAAAACTTTGAGTGCAGACCACTCATAATTTTCAGTACAACCTTTGAGCATCACAATCCTCAATAGCTCTCTTGGCCAACAAAATACATTATTATTTCTCTAGGCACACTTTGGACTCTGTTTTCTTTCTGATTGCACACATGAGGGAAAAGATGATGGAACAGGTCTGTGAGAACAGTTTGCATCCTTATTTGTGATGGCAGAAATTTGGTGGCAAAATATGATGTTGTGTTAAAAAATGCTGTAGTGAATAGACTGGGACTAAATTAGCCAAAGAACTGTTGCACTTACACAAACTTGTGCAGACTTTAGAGTAAGTATCCTTGCTATTGATTTCATCATTCTGAACTAATTTTTTTATTTTTAAAGTATATGTATTATTTTATTGTCAGGCAACCTGGAGGATTGTTATCAGTAGAATAGTAGAAGAAACATGTTTAAATTGGATAATCATTTTCTGATGTCATGGAACTTCAATTCCAATGTTATCCAATAATGTGTAGTAGAACGTGAAAAAAATACTTATTATAAGAACTGGAAGTTATCCTAACGATTAGAGAAGACAATAATACCATGGGCATATATAGCATGGAGAGGGAATGAGTAAATTATAAAACATATATTTTAATGTTGTCACATAAACTCTGTCTCTTAGAATTATTGTGACAAATTTTGGTCTGGATTCAAATATCAACATGCTGCAAAAGTTCAATGCTTGCTAATCTTCAATTTCTCAATGGCTTCTGATACCATCAACCACAGATATTTTCTGGATCCTCTATATGACTTGATGATAGTGTTCTTGCTCTGACAAAGTGATTATTTCAGAAAGCAGCATTAGGTTATTTTACCTCTCCAGCCTGGCAATTATGCTGTAGATATCATAAAACCTTACTTTATCTTCAGTACTATTAACAATTTTTGAATCTACCTGGCAGGTTGAAATCACTGTACTATAGCAGAGGAATCAAGACGGGCTTCTGAACCTTGGTCTGCATGAAGTGATGAGCTAAATGAGCCCATAAACAGTTTGTAAGCAGGATAATTGATAGATTGTCTCACTATCACAGTCACTATGACTTACTATATGCATTGGGGTACTCATGGATAGTCTTTTTCTGGAAAGTTTCTTTTGAGGCATTTTAAAAAACCCATTAAGGCTTTTCCCACACGAAAACTGGATTATTACTTCTACTTTGCTTTTGTTTCTCTTCCTCATTTTAATGAATAGACTTTTGGTTTTTCTTTATTTTCATGTATTTTTTTCATTGTTTTGGGGCTGTGGTAGCAATTCAAAAAAGTGGGATGAAATATTGTTTTTTAAAAAGAGAATATTCTATACTTCTTATGTTGTAAATGTCAACCTTGCATAATAAAATTGAGTTATATTTCTTTTCAAAGTCAATTTCTTTCTTCCCCAGTTCTCAGTATGAGTTACTTACAGTCAGATTGCAAACACCATCAAAAGTTACATTGAAGCAAAGGAAATAGCAGAAGATAAATATCTCAGAATAAAACTTGCTACTGAAAATGTAATCTAAAAGTTTCCACATGGTTGTAAAACTCTTCCCTTAAAAAAGTGCTATATCATGAAATGAACACTAACAGATTTGTCTCATATTAAATCTTCTATGAATTTTTCATAAGTATGTCATTTTGTATGTATCCACAGCATCTATTGCCTGGTTCTTCTTGTTTAATTGAGGTTTTTGGTGGTTTTTTTTTTTTAGTTTTGGAAAGCAATATTATATTTTGACTTTAAAAAATATTAAATATTATTATTTCTTTTAAAAATTGTCAGATATTTAGCAGATAATTTGGCAGTCACAGCCGTGAGAACCAATTCATAATTATAAAATATTTTTTCTTGACATTACTGAAAAAAAGATTCTATAGCTTTCCAAAAATGAATCTGGACAGATTTTGATGCTTCATGCTAAATAAATGAAGGAAGTACAGTTTCCCACGTACAAACCCCATCTAACTATAGGAAAGCTCCACAGAAGTAAGAGTGGAACCATACTTGTCTCAGTCAAATTACATACTTACATTTGTAAGTGAAACTTGTTTCTGAATAACTCTTGAGGTTACAAATGGATTGTAACTTAAGAAATTACAAGAGGAGCAGGAAGAAAGGCTGTCATCATGTGTGTTTGTTAAATGCTCAGACTGGAGAAGACAAAGTTAAATTGTAAAATGTACAATTTGTCAAGATGTCAATACTGCACTCCTAATTTATTAGGCTAAATGCTCCCATATTTCATATATAACAATTCTAACTTGTATAACTGAACCAATCTAGGCAATCAAGAAAGGATGTAACTACTTTTTTTTTTCAGAATGATTCTACCACCATTCCTTTTAATATATCAAAACCTCCATCAATCACTTGACTCTTTATATAGTCATGTGTTGACTATATATTTGTATATTTATACTGTATATTTTAATCAGTGAATGGAAAATGAATTTGATGGCCAACAGTACTGGGGTTCTTCACATAGTAATTCATGTTTCTGCAAGAGTTAAAATGAACTTTCTCTCCTTTTTTTCATTTCTGCCCCTTTCATTGTATCATTTAGTTTGAAAAGAGACTGTTTACTTCCAAAAGTCTGTCCTCCTGGCCCTTTCCTCACAACGTGCTAATTACAATTCTTTGGTATGCCTTTTTTGCTGGCTGCATCTGTGTTTACATATCTTCTGTGATCAGTCAGAGGCCCACTCTGGGGCCTTTCAGCTCCTTTCAAAACTCATCCTCCAGGAGTTTAACCAAACTCAGCATTGCTAAGATCAGTTACTCCCTGGAGCATTCCCTGGTCAATTTCTAGCATCCACTGACATTTTGACATAAATCGGCAGGCAAATGCTCCCTAGTCTAGAGATATGAAATTTGAAAAAGTGTGAATTCAAACAACTGTTGATAAATTGCTCTATAAGGCCTTCACCATTAATTTCTGTCAGTAGACAGTAAAATGGCAATGGCTGCTCAGCATGGTTCCAAAAACAACATTTTCTTCTCTGGAGTAGAACACACAACACTGACAAATTGGAATCCATCTTATTGAGTTGGGGGATATCTAAAATTACACAGATGGTGTTGAACAAAGTTTGTGTTCTCTTTCCAGTTTAAACAGGAGTGTGCACTTTAGTCAGATTTTAAAGGTTTTTGTTGGCCTTTCTCTGAGCATCCCAAAAAGGTCCTTAATCAACATGATACCCAGTTATATATCTCCTCCCCGAGCTCTCTCAGTGAAGCGGCCGATGTGATGGGCCGTTGCCTCGAAGCCGTGAGGGTCTGGATGGGGGTTAACAGACTCAGGCTCAATCCTGACAAGACCGAGTGGCTTTGGATGTTGCCTCCCAAGGATCATGTCGACTGTCCAGTGTTGACTCTTGCGGGGGAAAATATACCCCCTTCGGAGCGGGTTCGCAACTTGGGTGTCCTCCTTGATCCACAGCTGAATTTGGAACATCATTTGACGGCTGTGGCTGGGAGGACCTTTGCATAAGTTCGTCTGTTGCACCAGTTGCGACCCTACCTGGACTGGGAGGCTCTCCTTACAGTCACTCATGCCCTTGTCACCTCACGTCTGGACTACTGCAACGCGCTCTACATGGGGCTACCCTTGAAAAGTATTCGGAGACTACAGTTGGTCCAGAATGCAGCCGCGCGAGTGATAGTGGGTGCTCCTCGATACACCCACGTTACACCTATCCTCCGTGAGCTGCACTGGTTGCCTATTGGTCTCTGGGTCCAATTCAAGGTGTTGGTTATTACCTTTAAAGCCCTATATGGCTCAGGACCAGGCTATTTGCGAGACCGCCTACTACCTCATAGTTCCCTATGTCCGGTTAGATCCCACAGGCTGGGCCTCCTTCAGGTCCCGTTGGCCAAGCAGTGCCATTTGGCGGGGCCGCGGAGGAGGGCTTTCTCTGTGATGGCGCCCACGCCTTGGAACCATCTCCCCCCAGAGATTAGGACCGCTCCCACCCTGTTGGTTTTCCGTAAGCTGCTTAAGACCTGGCTTTTCCGGCAGGCCTGGGGTTTATAAAATCTGATCCCTGGATGACTGTAATTGTACTGTTCGTTTGTCATGTTTTATGTTGTTTTTATTGTTAGCCGCCCAGAGTCCTACGGGAGTGGGGCGGCTTATAAATTTTAAAAATAAAATAAAAATAAACATAGAAACTCATAAAGTAATGTGCCCTGGTTGACCAAGATTGGTGCCTTTGAAAACACCATGGACCTTGAAAGCACGCCTTCTCAGTGGCAGCCTAGGCCTCTGGGACAAGTCTCTGGGACACCCTGGAATTGGGTATGTCCAGTTTAGGAGTGACATTATAGCCGGGTTCCAATATCTCAGAGGTTGCCACAAAAAAGAGGGAGTCAAGCTATTCTCCAAAGCACCTGAAGGCAGGACAAGAAGTAATGGATGGAAACTAATCAAAGAGAGAAGCAATTTAGAACTTTCCTGACAGAACAATTAATAAGTGGAACCCTCAGAAACAAGAGTGGATCAAATTGACTAATGTTTCAGAAGGCTCTTAGTATTTGAAGTTTTAGAATTCTGTGTACTGGTTGACTGCAAAATATTATTCAAAATTTGTAAATTATAATATTGCACATGCACCTCAAACTATATTTCATAAACATAGCTCATTAGCTGGTATGATGTTCAAATAGTAAA